CAATAACCCATTGCAGTTATATAGTAACTATCCCAATAATCAGGTCACATGCAGTTATTAGATTGGCAAATATGGTACATTTCCACTGCATGCAAGAAAGTGACTGCATGACTCAGAACCCCTCTGAATAATAGTTTTTTTTATGCGCCACCAATCTGTTCCATATAGGAGGTATTGGTCAAAAGCAGGAAGGACTAAAGCAACTGAAATTGCAGTAATGCAGATTCCAATTGTTATGGCTAACAAGCTAATTCTTATCTTCAGCTCAGAGCCCAAGAAAAGACGCTTATGTAAATTTGAAGTAAAAAAAGATTAAAGGGAACAATGAGTAATTAATATTCAAAATATCAGGAGCATGAAGACCATCATTGCTAATGCAAGACACTGTGAGAGCCAGTGATGAAAGTCTCTTATTCACAAAACCACTTTCTAAATGTGGTCTGCCTACTGCTTCAAAATCATTCTATTCAGTAGTAATGGAGAGAGACAAAGAGTGAATGGTCAAATGGAGATGAACTGGGATCAGAACCCATGGTCTTAGGAAGTAATGGAGTGGAAAACTGAGGTTAGACTGCAAATTGTGGACTTTGGCTGGCAGCTGATGCTTGTCCTCCAGGGTAGTCCTACATTTAGAGCAGGCTTCATTAGTGCTAAAATGCATCATTTGTATCTAATGGGGAGTAATGATTCCTTGAAATTAGATATTAGGGAATAGGGAGGCCTTTTGTTCATGCCAACATTGTTGAATCAGAACTACAAATGTAATTGAGTATAGGAAATTACAAGGAATTTTTTGTTCTATTTTGGTTTTTTTCCCCTGGTATTTTATATATTATTTTCTAAATTATTTATCGATAAATGGCTTGAATGTTCACACTACCCATATGGCAGGGGGTGGGGAAGCCTGTGCTACCCACATGGTGGTAATGGGGAAGAGATTTTGTGCTGTCCACATCGCAGGAGGGAGGACAGACCCATGCAGCATGCAGGGTGAGGGTCCCCGCTGCTCAGGAGTTGGACAGCTCTCTGTTAGAGCATTGCTTCTCCAGTGCTGACTGAGTGACAAGGCAAAATGCAACATATGAAGTTACTAACATTACTTCTTTAAGATCTATAATTTCCTGGAAGTATTGTTACCCATGAACTGTCCAAACTTGGTCTGTTAAATCTAACAAGACTGCAGCCTCAAGTGGTATTATTTACAGGCTGACAAAAAATAAATACAGGGATAGCTGGTGTGAAATTTAAACTCGGGAAGTCAACAATTTTAAATTGGTGAGCCTTTAAGGTCTCTCTCTTTGGATTCATCAAGGTGTGGTGTTATACAGATGCATGAAAGCTGGGACGTAATCAGTCAGTAAACTTTTGAACAATAGCATACTTTTATAAAAGAACAGCAATTTTCATTGCATTCCCTACCAGAAGATTGAATGTTTTGTGAGCATTTGTTTGACACTTTTAGCATGAAAGAATCATAACTGTGATTTTTTCTCCTGAAAAATCACAGGCACACCCTTGGACTATTTTAGCAAATACTTAACTTTTATTAATTGAAGAAATAAGAATAAGTAGGCTGTAGCCTAAGTACTTTACAAAACAGCAGCTTTCTGAGTAGGTCCTAATCCTATCCTCTGGAAACTTCACTGGAACTTCCAACTTGTGCACAGGTATTTGAATTGTCTCTATTTCTGTAAACAATAACGAAGCTGCCGGTTGATGTTTTTAAGGTTGGCATATCTGACTCATTATACAGTTTAGATATTTCTGATAAGTGAAGTCCTATAAATTAGACACACTGGCCACTATAAATGATTTTTTTAGGCTTTCTTTTATTGCTTGGTAATTTAAAATGTATCAGCTCATACACATGCACCACTGCCATTTTGTAATGAAGTATATCAGAGGTCAAACTAATGCATGAAATGATTTTGTTTGCATATACAAAAAATGCAGAGGCTAGATTTTGATGGTGATGTATGTGCCATCTCCTCTCTGTGTACCATTAGCATAATTAACATATGCCATTATCTTCATCAGTTGCATTACCAAATGAAACATCTAGTACATTGAATGGGACTTCTAAAGCACTTGCTTGAAGTTAAGCATGTTATTCAGTAAGTGCTTTGTAGATAGTATTATGGCAAACTCAAAATTTTTGCATCTCAAAAAAATTATGGAAAAACTTGCACAAAAATTTGGGGAAAATATCTCATTTGTTATTTAGCTCTAGCTGAGATTACTCGTGTGCATAAAGTTAAGCATATGTTTGTTTTTCCTTTATTTTTACTCAAGTGCTACATATAAGCTTTTTGGCTCACCTTGGAAATATCAAACAGTTGTCTTTGTAATATTAAAGTTTTCTTGATCTGGTTTGCAGTAATATTTACCTTCATAGGTGACAAGATGATCCTTATTGATATGTTGTTTTCTGTGTGCCACACATAAAAAGAGATAGCAGCAATTAAAAAAAAAACCCAAACATGTTTATACAGTTGCATTCACTTTTGTTGAAGGGGCTGATCCATAGTCCCATGCCCCACATAAGTCCTACTTAAGCCTCAAGAAAAGCAAAAGAGAAATAACTAATAAGGTTCCTGTATCCAAATATCTGAGGGAAGACTTTTAGATGGTTTAGCAGCATAAAAGGCAATGGTTTCAGTAAGATGTGACATCCAGTTATGTGCAAGACTTGTATACCACATAAGCCCCACTTAAGCTCTTAAAGCTAATGCCTGAAGGCTTAAAAATAAGATAATCAAAGTGCTTTCCTCCCTGCCTGATAAACTATTTATGGTGAAGTGACTATCTGCCTACTTCTGTAGTTCCAGGGATATTCATTATTTTTACACCTCTCTGCATTACAATCTGCAGCTGAAGTGAAGTGAAAGTCCAGAGAAATACAAAAAATATTGTTAGCAATTTTCTGTTTCCATTCTTTTGTAGATCCAAATATTTTTGCACCTAGATAACATATTTTATTTGAATGTTGATTACATGAACATAAAACCATAAAAAGTAACATAAAAGCAGCTTTCAAATCACATTTTTAACTAGTAAAGTATTAATCTAAAAAAGAAAAGAAAGATATAAATAAACTACATAAACATGTACTAGTAAAACCAAATATATAACAGTTGCCATTTGGAAGTCAGTAATTTGCCTACATCTCCCACGGAGTGATATTTGAGTGTCATAATTTTTCATTATAATTAGAATAAGTGGTGTCAGTGGTGACTGCACCAAATTTAACTTGTTAATGTTGTCAGCTACCTTTTAACAGCATTTATTCATATGTAAAAATACTATTTATTCTTCTTTTCTGAGCTATGGACTAATCAAATGCAAACATTTAAATAGGGAGTACCAGTAGCATACAAAACTTGAAATACCAAAAGAATGTGAGAGAAAAGAAAACTGAAATCTATATGAAAACCTACTGCTACAAGCAACCTATTTCTGTAGTCTTGATATCAAAACATTTCCCCCTTATCACTTGATATTCAATCCACAGGTTTAGTTTGCAAACACCTTAGTAAAGAGCTACCAAATGTAATGAAAATAAGCCAGTCTGTACAGATCTTGACAAATTATACTTTCTTATACTTGTCAGTTGCTAAAAGCACTTGACACTACTGTGTGTTCTCTGGGATTGTTGAAATGAGCAAAACACTGTTGCTGTTCTTTTTGTTTCTTTTATTTATAATTATATTTTACTGAATGGTATTGTGTTTCAAGATTTATTTCTGTTCAGTAGGTTATCATGGAAACAACTCTAAACCAATGTCAGAGAATATTTAAAAACAGAAGATCAATATATTACCAAATCTAATTAATGACCTGGCAACTACCAGTATGTAGCATACATAATAGCAGAAAGAGACTATGGACTTCTGTTAATGTAGACTTAAATTCCACAATAAGCTAAACTTATGGGATAGATTTGTGAAATAAAGTTCCGTATGTGAATCTGTAAATATAACAGCCTACTTTACAACCATAGATAGGCATGTGTATATCTATATACAAGTGTACACATGAAAATGACATATATCTATATAGATAGCAAGGTTTGCCCACTGAAGGGCATTAACAAAGTTAATCTAAATTTGATTTAAAACTGGTTTAATTATATGGTTTTAACCCCTTCTATGGACACTCCATTCAGAATTAAAATGGCTTGAATTGATTTGGGAGAGTCCTTTTATTCTGAATAAGATCATTAACTCACAGATTTAATATAGTTTAAGAAATCCAATTTAAAACGCCACTTTTATTTAATTCATTTCAGGACATAGCCCAGTGTGTCCATTCCTAGCCAAGCCCATAGAACATGTGGCAAATATTTGCCTTTTCCCACCTTACTAGCCATGAAGGTAAAAGTAGGAGAGGTAGGCACAGCCCGAGGAGTCATGGGAGAACCTGCAGCTGCCCGGCTGGGCCTGCCTCCTCCCCGCTGGACAATTCACCCGAATTGATTTGGGACAGTGATCTGAATCTCTGAATCGAATCACTGTCCTCCAAATTGGCCCAATCAAATACTTCCCTATTTGCACAAGGCCTAAAAGCTATTTCCTCTAAAGAAAGTGAATCAAGTACCTTCCATAGAGGTTCATTTAGATCTCCTTCTTTAGGAGCTGGGCTGGATACAAGTGACTGTCACCTCTGCCTACTAGAAAAATAAATATATGCTGGAGTCACTTACTAAGAACATAATAATAGAAATGTAATTTTGCACTATGCATTCTTTGGGGTGGAGACACTTATTTGCTCTTTGTAAAACGTAGTCTAAGGAACTCCCAACATAGGGGAGTCTTCTGTGCACACCTGCTGTATAAATAACAAATGTCAATGCATCTCTCTTTCCTTGTTTATGGTTTGGTTTCACATAAAAAATGTTCAGTTATCTTCAATTTTCTTGTTAAATAGGGAACATTTCCCCTTTTCAACTTAAATGATGCAGTGACAGAGGAGCTCATCCCCTTTCTCTCTCTGTCTCCTAGGAAACTGATCTTATGACCTTTAACATCTCAATGCATCGTTCTTGGTGGCGAGAGCATGGGCCCGGCTGCATACGGAGGGTGGTACGTCCGTCAGCCCCTGGAATCCTAGATGATTACTCCTACGTCTCTGTGACAGGCTGCATAATTGACTTCCAGTACCTAGAGGTCATTCACAGTGCCATCCAAATATTACTGTCCGTAAGTTTCCATTTTTTGTTATGCTTGGGTCGCCTCACTCCAACTCTTCTTTATTATACGGCTCAAATGTTTCTATATCCTCACTGGTGTTTTAAGTAGCTGTTTAATAACAACACAAGTTTGGAATTGCATATTCAAGTATACAATTTGTCATTTGAAACTTCAACAGACCTTTTTGAAGGGCATAAAAGCAAATACTAGGCCTACTTTATGGGGATACTCCTTTACATGGCAGCATTCTACTTATAATTCTTAATACTCATTTATTAGAATATGTCTAGAAAGAGAACACAAAAGGAGAGCACAGTCCGGATTAATCTGTCTAAGGCTTCCATCAAACGTTCAAAGTAATTACATCACAGCACTCACCTAGCTATATACATAAATGTTTTACATATACAAGATAAATCACTTCCTAAAGGTATGAACAGAAAAACTGGAAAAGATCAGAAAAATGTTAGTATTTAGAGTACCATTTGATACATTTTATGAGGTTGTGTACACTCTTTTTGGGACTTGTGGTGCCCAGACATTTTATGGTAGTATGTCACTTGCTAGAATTACCATATAATTACCATACCAGGCTGAGACTGCACACCATTTTCTACAGTAATAATAACAATAAGAACAACAATAATGTGCTATCATAGGATAGTACATGTTTATTATTTATTAGGTACAACTAGCTATTCTTCTGATAGACTTTAAGCATTTGCATTAGTAATGCAAAGGGGGAGAAAAAATTAATTTTTCTTAAATAGATTTAGTCTATTTAGTTGAAAATTATTTGCAAACTGTAATTATTGCAGTTTTGTACAGGATTTTGAGGTACCTTTTTCTATGCTGGATGACAGAATCTTAAAAGGATGGGAACAGGTTATAGCTATTGAGCAAAAAAGAGAAATAAGCTTTATAGCAAAGTAGGATGGAAATCCCAGATAGGTTCCCTGCATTGCTAACCAGCTTCCCCAAGAGGCTGACTGCCCTCTGCTCTCACCGGTTTTAAATGAAAGTTGTGTGCAGTGAACATCTTACTGCAACACCAGGCCCTTGGTGATTCATTGCACAGGTCCAAAGCTCATCAAAGTCAGTGGAAAGGAGTATAAAGTAAGTCCTGGTTGGGGGAGGGATGGGCAGGATGGGGGGAAGGTTCGCTGGTGGGGGTGAGGGGGCTAAAAGTAGCCCCTGGTCTGGTGGGAGGGGATAGCTCCCCAAGCCCCACCCCCCAGGTCTCAGCACCCTCCCACAGAACCCACCTACTGCCCCAATCCCCCTAATTGCTCCCGTGGACCCCACTTACCACCCCAACCTTCCCACTGACTCCACTTTGTAGATTTGTACAGATCTTGAGGCTCTCTACACACCAGAACTGGCACCAGGACATCCAATACAAATTTTTCCTATATCTCCCAATGTTCAGTGCTTGAGAGAGAAAGGAAAAAAACCCAAAAACCAATGATGCCTTCACAGGAAAAAAGTCTTGGTTCTTACACGTTGCTGCCAGAAGCCGTAAAGCTCAGGATGCTTCCCACATAGAAACTGGTTTTCCTTTCAGCCCCATCATGATGAAAGTAACCACTGGAATCCATTCATATTGTAACAGTGGTATGAGAAACACCTTGGCACATCATAATATACCTTCCATAAACTTATTGCTAGTTTTCTTGAAGCAATTCAAATTCCTTGCCTCCACTACTTGTTTGAGAAGACTATTCTAAAACTGCACTTCTCTAACAAAACAGATTGTTAGACATATTTTTGTCATTTCTAGTCTAGCTTTCTTCAGTTTGTATTCATTTGATCTCATGCTAATTCTTTAGTTATTCTGTAATATAAATTGCTCTCCCATTCCTTATTTTTCAACCCACAAGTGTAAAGAGTAATCATACAACCCCTTCTCAAATTTCATTTTGCTAAACTAAATAAGTCAAGCTCTTTTAATCTCTCACAGGATAGATTTTTTGTTTTCCTAACCATCCTAGTGGCCCTTTTCTATTCTAAATTAATCTTTTTTTCACATAAGCAACCAAAATGGTACATAGTATTTCAAATGGGATCTTATCAATGCCTGATAAGTTGTGTTAATATTTTCCTGCCCTTACTAAAAATTCCCTACCTAGTACACCCTAGGATTGCATTAGCCTTTTTCACAGTCACGTCACATCTGCAACTCATGGTTGCCTTACAATTGACCAATACACCCAGGTCCTTCTCTTCCACCATTGCCTCCAGTCTATTAGTCCCTATCTAATAACATGTTCTTCATATTAATCCCCACATGTATGTCTTATAAATAAATATAATAAAATATAATATAATAAAAGATATCAAATTCACCCAAGGAACCTTGTCTGCCTATGTCTTAGAACTATGTTCTTCTAAATTTCATACTATTTTTATCATTGCTGTCCACAGGGTTATGTGTATTGCAATCCAATCCTCTTCCATATTGGTAATACCTCACAGTTTTGTGTGGTCTACATAAATCATTAGCACACATCTAGTTATTTCACCAATATTGTTAATGAAAATGTTAAACAAGACTGGCCTCAAGGTTTGCCCCCAATGAACATCACTCGGAAGCTTTATCAAATTCCCTTTCAATATTGTCCATTGTAGTCTCTCTTTTAGCCAACTACTTGTCTACTTCACAATCATGATTTTATGTCATCTTCTCCAATTTAGCTAATAATTTCTTTTGAGGCATAGAATCAAAGGCTCTGCTTAAATCTAGATAGTTTAAGTTCATTGCATTACCTTTTCCTAAAAAGTTATCGTGCTGTGGAAGGTTATTAATTTGGTCTGATGTGGTCTTCCTTGGATAACACCAAGGATAACACCAAGGATAACACCAAGGATTGCATTGTGGTGCAATCTGTTCTATTTGCACTTGCACCACAATGTTGGCTCTGCACTTCCCTTTTAAGCATATGCTGGCCACATTGTCTCCAAGGAGTCAAATCATGCAGGCACATACATAACAAGGGGTAACTCCCAAAACTTAGGCACAGAAAAAATATCTAGAATATGACTAGATCTAAGGACCCTCCTACTTTTTAGTGTAATAAACTAGTGGTTGGGGCACTTGCCCATTGAGTGGGACACCCTGTTTCTAGGCTCCCCTCTGCCACAAGCAAGTTTGAACGTGCATCTCCAACTTAGTAGGAAGTGTTCTCACCACAAGTCCATGGATGAGGCATTGCCCAAACTACTATCCAGCTCTCTTCTTCAAGCTTGGATGCTGCCATTGAGGGAAGAAAACCCTGCTCTGGCCCCTGCCCCAGTGGATTTTCTTCACCTTACATTTACTATTCATTGATTACAATGCATATACAGCAGTGGCCAAAACTCAACGGTCCCTCCCTTCCAGAACATCATCCACATCACTCAGCTACATGTCTCTAGCTTGTTTTCTTTCTCCAGACCTCACATATTTTCCCGTCCTGGCTGCTTAGTGGACAAGCTCTAAGAGGTGGGCTACTTTATCTTATCTTCCAACTTCTCTCAGCAGTTGGAATTAAAGGTTCAAATCCCCTATAAATGAGGAGAGGCCCAGGAAGTGAAATAGTCTTAGGCCCATTCCCTGGAGAAGTGCACTATTCATTAAGCTGTTAGGCTAAAAGGTGGGAGGGTCTTCCTGTGCTTTAATTTTGGCAGGTAGACATGTACCTGGGTGATCTTATTCCAGCACAGGTGAAAATAAGATCCAAACTGTCTCTCTAAAAATTGCACTTTCATGGCTACTGCATTTTCACGGCTATGTAAGTTCCACTTACACGTGTAAAGGGCAAAAAGGATTCAGTCTTGTGTTTGCTATGTTCCAGTCACATGGTTCTGCCCTGAATTAACAGATTCCTTGCAGATCCATGCTACAGGTGTTGCTTTTTGGTGTTCAAGTTCTTTTAATATTCTGGGATGATGATTATCTGCTCCCCCTATTTTCAATAAACCTGTATCAAAAAGATTATACCTATCTTAATTCTAATTCTAATTCTTATTCTAAAAAGCACTTACATATATGCTTAACTTTAAGCAACGTAAGTATGTGATTACAATTAAGCATGTAATTAATTATTTCCTAAACCAGTAATCGTCCCTGGATATTTAGTTAAAAAGGTCATTTATATCTCATTACAGACTCTCTTTTTTGCCATGCTGAAAAATGTCATGAGAAGAAAAGATTTTTTTTTAAGCAGCTAGTTGTGGAAGTGGACTGTGGCTTTTTGGAGTACAACCTAGTTAAATTTAATAACACTTTATGCAGCAATAGTAGAATAATAAACCATTTTACAATGTAACAAAAACTTTATTGCCATAACAAATCATATCATCATGCTAACTGCAATCCAAATGAATGGGAAGGTGTGCTTTTATTTGATAGGGAGCTAAAGCATCTATAACAAGAAATTCCTTGCGAGTTAAATATTCTATACCTGTCTGGATAATTTACTAGCATGGGATCTCAGCTTTCCAAGGGTGCCTTTTTATTTTTTTAAGGAAAGAGAAAAAATGTATGCATAAGATGGTGCAGCCAGGCTTACATTGGATCTTGCTTCAGAGAATTGTCATTTCTTTCATTCCAATGCAGCAAGATGCTCGCTGTATTTGTGTTGCAGTGCTCATCATTAAACAGTCAGCCTCTACCAGCAGTTACCATGCTAGATCTCTAAGAACCAGGTTTCACTACTGAGCACCCATGGGAACCTCTGGGTCCTTGGCATCGTGTGTGTTTTCTTATTCACAAAAATACATTTTTATCTAGGAGTACTATTCTGAATATTAGTCAAGAAGGTCTATAAAGGTAACCATCATAGAATTGCAAAAGAATGAATTATTCTGTGTAAAATGCCTGGCACATATCCTCTCAAAGGAAACATCAGTTGTGCCGTGCCTTTATATTTCAAAAGCAAGGCACTATTTCCTGTGCTGCAAGTTCTAAATGAAGTTGCATTTGAAAGGTTAAAAGTGATGGCAGCTTTAATCAATCCTATTGCTTACTA